TTCAGTCTGAGTTCAGTACTTACTGCTCACGCTATTATTCGTGAAGGTGAAAACGGTGATATTAAACAGGTTCCACTATTTTTTTGTTTGATGTCACGGCGAGAAAAGAAAGACTACAAGAAAATCCTGAAGATAGCGAAGAGGGCAGTTCCTGGGCTTAAATTAGAACGTGTTATTGTAGACTTTGAAGCTGCTATATGGAAAGCCATATACAGTGTTTTTCCCGATGTAGCAATCCAGGGGTGTTCATTTCATTGGACCCAAGCTGTGTGGCGAAAGGTTCAACACCTCGGTCTTCAAGTACCGTATATGGAAAATGGCCCCGTCCATGACTATATACGGGAATTGATGGCATTACCATTCCTACCAGAAGAGCACATCAAAGCCAGTTTTAATATATTAGCAGAGAAGGCGACCCCGGGACTTCAAGATTTATTAGACTATATCAGATCAACATGGTTAGACAGCAGCGTATGGCCCCCATCAACATGGAGTGTATACAACAAGAGTGTACATACTAATAACGACGTTGAGGGCTGGCACAGACGTATTAATGCAAAGGCTGGACGTTCACATCTGCAGTTGTACGTGCTTATCCCGTTTATATATAGAGAAGCAAGATTGGTTTCGATTCAAGTGAGATTGGTGAAGGAAGGAAAACTGAGAAGATATCAGCAAAAACAGTACAAGCGGATCCAGGGTAAATTATTTAATCTATGGGAGAAGTATGAGCAGAGAGAAATATCTACATCAAAATTACTACGCGCATGTAGTAAAATCAATGGTCCAGGTCTGTAGGTATTAGCCAATTCTGTAGGTGTCAACCAAACCAAACGGCCCTTTTCAGGGCCACCACATCCTCCAAAAAGAGATATACCGTACCAAAACAAACTAACTGCAGAACAACTAATGAGGTAAACAATGCGTACACAATGGGGAAAAGTGTTTAATTATATTGCAGCAACATTAAAACAAACTCCATTCTTCCAACTATTCTGAAAAAAGAAAACAGATAACGATTATTAACGATCAAGCTAACAATGATTACCCCCCCCCCCCCCCTTACAAAGAAGAGGGTGGTATCGCCCAAACATGGCGACGCATGTGAACGGTAATGAACAATGGAGTACATTTCCAATGAAGTAGCTATTCGCACGTAATGGCGATCAGTGGTACAACTCGCTCAGATCGGTTTAGGGTTACCAAGATGTGTTAAATCAGATCCATTTATTTATCAAAATCATGATAAACGGCACAGATGTAGACAACTCGTTCCGTCACGTATGGGGGGTCCAGGTGACTGGGGTCCAGTTGTCTCGGGGTCCAGTTGTCTGGGGTCCAGTTGTCTTGGGGTCCAGTTGTCTTGGGGTCCAGTTGTCTAGAAACCGTCCCCGCGACGTGGATGGCGGCGTACTCCGACGGTCAGACTGAGGATTATTCATTGTCTGTAATACTTTGTCTTATCAAATCAATTTCAGTTGTCCTTGTTGTTGTTATTGAACACTCCTGGTGACTATGACTTGAAAATTTGAATTTCTGATTACGTGTCAAACCGAAAGTCAAGACATAATTTCACGTCATAGAAATTTATAGAAATGATTTTAAAATAAATGCATTCATAATAATGAAAA